CCCGCCAAGGCCTGTATTCTGGCTCATGGGCTGAGCTCAGCATTTCACACCCCCCCCACCTTCCCGTGAGCTTTGCCGCGGCCACATCTGCGGCCGGCTCTGTGAACACGGCCCTGGAAGCAGCCTGGGCCAGGCACTGAGCCGGCTTCGCCAAACAAAACCCCGGCCGTCCACGGCCCCTCCCCCTCCAAGGGGCCCGCAGTCGGGACCCAGCCGGGCCGAGGGACCGTGCGTCTCCCACCCGTCTGACCCTCAGACAGGGAAGCTCCTCAAACACCCCTCTGGGGAGAAATCCACCCAGAAGCACAGTCTGCAGGGCTGGGGGGCGGGGGAGGGGGCGTGAATGTTGGCGACACCCTTGCCTTTGTCCGGTCGCTGTGCCAAGCCTGCGTTTACCCTCAAAGGACCACGGGCAGCGGGAGCCAGGGGCGTCCAGATTGGGGTGAGGGTGACGGCGCACGTGAGCTCTGTGCCCCATGTTTGAGACCCCCCCCCCCCGCCCCGGATGCTCCTCACGATACTGTGGCTTAGGCATCATTGTACCCATTTTACAGGTGAGGAGACTGAGGCTCAGGCAGTTGCCCAAGTCAGGCTGACTCCACAGAGGGCCCAGGAAGCAAGGAGGCGCCTGTGAGCCAGCCTGGGAGATGCCAGCCGGAGGGACTCCATGGAGAGACGAAGGATCGGACATTCAATCACGCCTGTCCGTCAGCTTAGGGACAAACCCATCCCTCTCCCCGCTCCCCAACCCCCAGGAACCAACGAGCAAGTATTTCCTGAGCCCAGACCGTGTGACAGGCCCCAGCTCGGCCCATCCAGGGGCCAGTCCAGACGCGTGTGGCCTGCGGGCGCCTCTCCGCCCCAGGCGGCCTCTCCTGACCATATCAGCACGCCAGCCCCGAGGCATCTGGCCCGGCCCAGCCTTCCCCAACACAGAGGCCTTTGTCTGGGATGGACGGGGCCACGGGAGTGTCACTGTCGCTGTGGCCGGCCTTCCCGCCCTCCTTCCCACGGCCACCCCAACCCTGTGGTCACTTTCGGGGCCTCCCGAGCGGCCTCGGCTTTCTCTCGGCCGTGGCTGGTGGGAGGGAGCCGGGAGGTGACTCAGGAGCGACACGGCCTTAGCAGACGGGCCCTGTGAGGAGAGGGGCCACGAGAGACGGGAGGGAGAGATCTGGACGCCCCCGGAGATGTGTACACGGGGAGGGGACAGCTTACGAGGCCCGGACCTGCTGCCCAGCCGGCGTCGCCCGACATAGGCCCGATTCCTGCACGACTTCTGTTCTCAACTCTGAGGACCAGGTGAGAAACGGATCCAAGTCTAACACATTTGCTCGCACCCACAGCGGCTCTGACTCGGTCAGATCAGCCCGAGGGACACCCCGGGGGACAGGCTCTCCCGGAGCTTTCATCACAAGGCAAATCCGAAGGTCGTGTCAAAACAAACGCAAGAGCAAAATGAATGATAAACACAGGTCTGTCTGCAGTTAGTGGTTGAGCATCGACCCAGGTCACGGTTCAATTCCCCGTCAGGGCACAGGCCCGGGTTGTGGGCTCGATCCCCAGTGTGGGGTGTGCAGGAGGCAGCCGGTCCATGATTCTCTCTCATCATGGATGTTTCTCTCTCTCTCCTTCTCCCTTCCTCTCT